AACGCTGGGGGCCGTAGAAAGGAAACGGGCGCCCCGGGGAGTCGCGGATGGCCGCCCCTGAAGCCCGGCGCTCGCCCCCCCCCCAAGGGCCCCAAGCTGGCGTGGGAATGAGGGGACGAGGCTGTCACAGGGCGGTCACGGGGCCTCCGCTTCCTCGCAGCCTGTGACGACGCGTGCGCGGGGGCGCTGCTGGACGGCCTGGACGCTGCCGGCCGCGCCGCTCTCCCTGGGAACCTCAGCGGCGTCATCCCCGCCCCGCATGGGATTCTGTCCGGCCTGGAAGACACGGCGAGACGCCTCCGGGTGGGTACGGGGACCCAGACGCGCGTCACTGCCCGGAGCCCCTGGAGCCCCCCGCTCAGCCGGACCGGAGGCTTCGGCCTCCGCGCTCCCTCGTCCTGCTGAGGGGCTCTGACTGCTCGCCGTCGCTCCCCAGACGCCGCCCTGTCAGGGCTCCCCGGGCTCCCCCTCCGGCCTCCGGGAAGGAGGCTGCGTACAGCCGTCCTAATGCAAACGCAGAAGCCGTCTCGGGACAGCGTCGTCTTTCATGCTGGAATTTGCTGAAGATGAACTATTTTCTGTAAATGTATCATCCTCAGCTGCACTTGCAGAGCACAGAAGTTCCCCCTGCCTAGGAAACTTTATAAAAAGTCTCGCGGTAAATCATAGTTTTGTGTTTAGCCAAAACCCGTGTTTTGATCTGGGTCCAAAAGAAGGTGGGAAGGTCAGAAATGGACTTGCTAACAGCATTCTTTTCATTCTAATTGGGAAAAAACTGTGATTCTTAATTTTGCTTAAAGCCTATGCATTAGCATTTGAGATATTTAATTCACTGTCATGCAGTAATAAAAAGGATAGTCATTCCTCAACGCCTGTTTCAGGTAAGAGCTTTCCTCAGACTTTAGACGTCCTTAAGCACGTGCGCGCGCCTGCCTATTGGACTCCAGCTGCTTCAGTGATCCATTCTTGTCAATCGTGGTCATTTCCTCTGTAGATGCAGTGGAGTAAAGGAGGCTAGGAACCTCTAAGAGATGTTTTTATATTTTTTTCTCCATGGAACAAAATGTTTTTGAAAGATGAGAAAAAATTCTAAAAAAAAAAAATCTGAAAAAACCCCACCAAAATCAGAAAGGACAGAAATGTTCAGATTTCTTTTCCACTCACTATAGCACAGTATATAAACCCTACCTCTGTGCATCTGTGCTCCAGCGGGACAACTGTATTTTTTTTATTAAGTGAGATAAATACTTGGTTTCAATTTTAACTCTTTCTGAATGATTTGTTCTCATTTAAACTTACTTTGTCAGTTCCTTTAAATGACTTTTTATGTAAAGTACACAGGAGGTGAAGATTATGAACACTTAACTGTTTCTTGTTTTCACTGTTTATTGACACAGCGACTGTCCTGACCCTAAACAATAATCTAGCCCCTTCACAGGTTGTTACAAGAATTAAAGTCGTCCAAGTAAAGAAATTAGAAAGTGTTGGCGTAAATAAATTAAGCACTTAATTTTTAGTAACCATAAGGCTTTCCTTTACTTAATACTTTTTGTATTTTAGCCTTGTTAGCGTTTTTTAAGGTATTAGCAATTATAGTTAAACTTTATGTGACTCTGCTATGAAATTAGGCCAGACTCACCCAAGAACTGTAGCAGTATCTGGTTTAACTTCCTGTCTTTGTAGGAAATACAACGCAACAGAGGGCAGTACGGAAACATGCTGCCGTCATCAAAACTTTAGTGAATTCATTTTCTTTTTAATGCAATTTCAAGGAAAGGAGAATTTCCTTGAACAAAAGAAGTAATAACAGGTGATTCTTAGGTAGGAACCAGAAAAGTTATTTTCCAGCATTATAATTTGCTTTCTTCTTTTTAGGAATCTTTACTAAAAGGAAATACACAAAAGCAACTGGCAAAAACTGAACTTGAAGGTGTCTCAGAGCAAACAGAGCACCTGCAAAGGGAGGTAAGTTCTTCACTGAAAAGGCCGACTCCCCACCTGGCCCTCGTGAGCAGCCGCACTGGGGCTGCCTGCCGGGCTCTGCTCAGAGCAGGGCGGCCTCCTCCTCCCAGGGACTCCGAGGTGCTGCCCCCCCCCACCAGCTCCGCAGCCCCTCCTAGTGTGGCATCTGCAGCACCCGGCTTCCCCTGTGCTTCTGATCGGTGGACTCGGAACGGCAAGAGAGTCCAGAGTTCATTTTGATGTCAGTAGGGAATTAGTTATTGTCTGGTCCATGCCAGGTAAACAGGTTTTAGTTTAGTGACCAAAAGAGAATCTCCTCACTTGCAGACGGTGTGGGAGGCCTGTTTGACTGCGTGTGCGTGTGTGTGTGTAGACACGTGCGTGATCGTGTGTCTGTGCGTGTACGTGTCTCGTCTCCGCCCCTCACCATCCACACACGTACACAGTCATACAGCCTGAACGTGTGTTAGCTTGGTTCCTGTTAATTTAAAAGTAATAATGATTTGGGAAGCATTTCAGGGTTTACGTGTGGGCTTTAAGCACCTCGGCAAGCACACATTCGGCAGGAAGTGATAAGCTGATGACAATAATTTCTCTCTATCCATTAAAGAAGATTCTCTTTCGATTTTGAGTAGAAAACACTTAGAGCCAGTGGGAGTTGCTTTACATTCCTGGAAATTACAAGTAACTGTTCCTCTTACAAATCAGAACACTCCTAATCAAAGTAACAGCGGAGGGTCGCTGAGCCTCAGCCCCGGGCTGCTCGCCTTGTAAACGCTGTATTTGACCCGTATAACGTCCTGTGAGGCGAGCGTTACTCCACGTCCCCGGGGAGCCCAGGGCCCAGGTCTCCGGCCTGGCAGCAGCAGGCCTGTAGCCCACTTGCCTAACTCGAAGTTCCTAGCTCCTCAACCACATCCTCACGGTCAATACAAACTAGTAAGATTTCACTTTCTAGACTCTTTGTACTTGGGTCCCAACGTGAACATCAGGTCTTCACAACAGAGACAAATGGGAGAGTCTGCGGTTTGAAAACCAATTAGGTTGTTTTTAAAAAATATAGCATCTTTTCTCAGAGTGAGCAGTCAGTCATTTCATTAACCACCTACTCCATTTCCAACCCTGAACTGTCAACCTTGGCTTACATGACGGTGCACATGCTCACTCTCTGTTCAGGAATAGGTTTTGTTACTTAAGACAGACAATATTCAAATACCAACACTCACATTTTATTCAAACTGATCTGAGGCCTTTGTTTTCCATCAGCTCGACAGAGTGTTGGCACGAAGCCAGCACGTGAGCAGGGCCACTGAGAGAGTCCTGAACAGGAGTCGGGACCTTGTGACGTTTACTGAGAAGCTGCGGACAGACATCCAAGGTAGTGTCCTCTCGTTTGGGGAGTCTGGCTTTTTGGCAGAAAAAGCTCCATCTACTGTATTTGACGCACGAAGAGACATGTGACCTGCCCTGGACTCCTGGAGTCAGAGGGCTGGGATGTTCCCATAGTTCGGGGATCCTGATGTGTCCAGATCGTTGCCTTTCATTGAGAGTTTTATCTTTTATTTTCCACATTATGCCTTTCACTTAGGACCTAAGTATTGGGCAGATTTGGCGCCTCCACATCTCTTATGAATGTGTCAAATTAACACTTAGTAAACGGAACACTTTTGCCGATGGTGAGCCAAGGTCCAACAGCAGACCACAGGAGAGCGTGACCTGGAGGAACGTATCGCTCCCAGGTCCAGGAGGACGTAGCCGGCACACCTTGAGGGGGCGGTCAAGGCAGGCTGCAGGCAGAGAGAAAGAGGGGGCCTGGGGCACCGGCCCTTATTAGGGTCTGTGGGTGGAGTGCTTTGGGGTTCCTGGGCTAAGGCCGGATTCCTTAATCCAAAGCAGAAGAGCAGGGTTTTGGTGACCCCCGGGGGTCTTACCCAAGGGGCACATAAGGGGAGGGTGCTGGGAAGCAGAGACCATCCATCACGAGGGCCACTGGGGAAGTCATATCCAGAACTTACATGTGCTTTGCCTCGGTGGGCGGCCGTCTAGGGCACGAGGGCCACTGTCAGGTTAAGGTCCCTACAGGCCAGCTGCCAAACAAAACGGATACCCAGGCAGCAGTACCACGGAGTAGCTTAGCTAAGCTCTCCACAACGCTGCTTTGCCCAGAACAGGAGCTGATGGGATTTGGGGCTTCAGTGTGGTCCCGAAGTATGTCCTAGTATCAGAGTAAGTTGGTCACTACTCAGCTGGGACGTCCCAGGTGATCTTGCTTTTAAATGCCACTGTCAACTTTTGACTACCAGAAATTCTTGCTTTTCCTTTTGGATTATAGTATATGGCGTGAAAACTACAGACTCCAAATCAGACTTTACAGGGCAAAGGGTAAGGGAGTTAGTTATTAGAGCTAATGATGTTTTAGGAAAGAGGAGCATCAGTGCCGAGGGTTCCCCGGTGCAGTAAACCCTTACTGAGCGCGGCTGTGTGCACACGTCCGCACCAGGTGCAGAGCAGCTGAGGGGGTGGTCGCCACGGCCCTGCCCTGACGGAGTTCACGGGCACTGGGGAAGCGGACGTCACCTAGACCAGCAATCCCAGGTCCCTGAGTGTCCTGACGGGAGACGTCCAGGGTGCAGTGAGATGTACGGGCTGACCTGGCCTGGCTAGAGGTCCAGCCCAGTTTAGGTGAGCAGAGCAAGGTTCTGCCATCTTAGTCGTGTCCACTTTGAGAGACTTTTTAAATGATAAATTTTCTCCATAGAAATCAGCGAAAAGGCAACAACTCTAAATCAGACCTTGGACGAAGATGTCCAGCTACCCAGTTCTACTCTTCGGAATATGCAAAGGAACATTACATCTTTGCTGGAAATCCTGCAGAAAAGGCATTTCCTGCACTTGCACCAAAATGCCACCCTTGAACTCAAGTAAGTTCCCGAATACCATTCATGACACAGCCTGTGAGAGGCAGGCACTTGGGAGCAGAAGGGAAGGACAGCAAGCTGTCGGTGGGGCAGACGTCGCAGGAGAGGTGGGTGTGGCCCCTCCCGACCGAGCAGTGGCAGTGTTTCCCTCTGTGGCCCTGACACTGCATCCCCACCTGGTGTGAACCAGAGAACCTCGTGGTCCTGTCTCTATGAGGATCAGGTGTAGGCAGTAAACTCTCGTGGAAGCAAACACAGTGGCTTCCACTGAAGCTGTGAACGCCACGACAGACTCACTGTGCCGAGGTAATTTAGCTCAGTTATGCCACCTGTCACCGAAACCCTTGGTATGAAATGACAGATCACAAAGAATCGTTACACGTGGTCACCAGGAGCTTGTAATATGCTTACATCCTTTTTTCTCAGTATATTCACACAATTGTTTTGATGCAACAGAAAAGCTGTCCTCTCGCCCAGCTGCGATCACATCTAGTAACTGGTTTGTCACACAGTGCCCCACCAAAACTCCAGTCTTGGTAGTGAAATAGTTCAACTATTTTAATATAGTTTGCTATTTTAAATAATGTTGTAATAAACAATTTAGGTAAAAATCTTTTTCACATTATTATCATCAGGGTGGCTATTAAGAAGTGAAATCATTTCGCCAGAGTTTGCA